GACATGGCTAGCTTTTAATAATTACAAAACAGTCTCAGAAATTCCAGAGTAAATTGATGATAATCTGTGCACCCAACCCAAACCTCCCCTCTGTCTGCCTACCATAAATTAACTAGCTCAACCCTAGTCTTCAGAGAACAGGGATGGTGGGTACTTGCGCACTATCTACTAATAGAGTGGCAAAGCGACCAGAAACTAGCAAATGGACTGTATTTATATAGCGCCTTTCTATCTTATTTCAAGACACTCAAAGCACTTTACACTACAATCTGTGTCCTCATTTACCCTTCCACACAGCACTCTACTAGATCTCTACAAAGCTAATTGAACAAATCATTCTAATGAGACTAATCAGAGCTTTATCACATTCATACACTGATGGGACACACATCAGAGGCTATGAGGGGTTCAGTGTCTTGCCCAGGGCCACTTCAGCATGTGACTGCTGGTGGATTCGAACCCCCAACTCTCGCATTGGAGGACGACTGCTCTAACCACTCAGCCGCAACCCCCCACCACTATGGCTGTGCCCCCGAGACAACTGCTCTACCCATATGATCTCACACTAACATTTTTGAGCACATGATTCCCAATGGGGAGACACACTGAACCCTACAGGAGAGTCAGTTCAGATTAGCTGCAATTTGCACAAATTAATCAACGCTTACCACTGGATTCATCTAATAAAGTTGAAAGCAAACAACTTACCCCAAGCCAGACCAAAAAAAAACATAAAAAATGGGGAAAAACATTTTTCAAACAAAACTTAAGATTCCCACACTAGCTTCCCAACTAAATTAACAACCAATGCTTAATTAGCATCTCAAGGAGAAAAAATTGTCACGCAAACTATAACTTAACTTAGAACGAGCCCCCAGTTTGTTACGGCCTGGCTCTAGGACCATAACAAATAAAGGGGAAGCACTTAGAATTATATTTATTTAACAAAAATCATGGCTGGCTGGAGAAAAAAAGGTCAAGAAGGGAGAGAGGGGAGAAATCTTCTTCTTTTGGTTTTTATTGTCGGTTGGCAACCAACTTAAGGAGCATTTACCGCCACCTACCAAACTGGAGTGTGGTCTTCAGTGATGTCAGAGGGAATTCAACACATCAAATGACGTGTATGATGTATATATGCCCACCCTGACCCTCACTAAAGTACTT